CAATAACAGGCAAAATGATGATATAAAAAAAAAAAAATAAAAAAAAAAATAAAACAACTGAAAAGGACAAATATGTCCAAAAGGTCGCACAAGGGTTAAACTACAATAATCTGAACAAAGAGTGAAATAAACCATTGTTATGCATGTCTGTGCTTCTTTAAAAAAAAATGTTTACTTTATTTTTACTCAAATTATTAAATGTCTCAAAGTTGTCAATTTTTGCCAAAACCAAAAATTTTTGCCCAAAACCAACAATTTTAGCACAAATGAAGTTAAAAATAAGTGTAGCCTACTTGGTTACCAGGGAGACAATTGGATGATATAGAAAATAGTGAAGAACAACAGCAAAAAAAAAAAAAAAAAAAAGATTTGAGAATACCTTTAAAAAGCCATTATTTTTCTAAAATGTAATTATGTATTTAGATAATCGCTAGCTATGACATTGACAAATCTACAACAAAAAGAGTTGAAAATGTCATTTCCACCACAGAATATCACTCCAGGGTCATGAACCTATTTTAGCACCAGTCGTTCATAATACATAACTTGAAATATAGTGGAAATGACACTGTAGTAGAATATTCATGACAACATTGATGTATATCCGTCGTTGAGACGTTTAAAGACAATACATGACTAGCGAGGGTGTTTAATATTAGTCCACAGAGCCAAAAGTGCCATAGCTGAGAGTAAAAGATGATAGAAATACGAAAACGGAGCGCGTGCTGTAAATCACGAGCAGAAAAATGACAGTAGTGTTTGTTTCTCGAATAAATAAGCACATTCGAGAGCATAAATGGCCATATATCACTGACGGCTCTTACCCTGCTGCTGCTGCTGTGAGGTCGGATCACCGGAGCTCTGCGCTGATAACCGCAGGACTCTCGTCTTTAGCTCTTTACACATGCCGACGCTCCTAAACGGCCTATTTAGTGTGAACGAGTAAATATTTAAACGTATGCCGGCCGTACGAATAAAACTGAAGAGTACCATAAACAGCTCGGCTCAATGACGGCAGACACCATGCTTTCATAAACCAGGAAGCCACGCTTGACAGCACTTCAAAATAAAAGTCCATTCAAAATAAAAGTCCCTTCATAACAAAACTTCGGTACAAAAAAAAAAATTTCAATTACTTTTAAATTTAGATCTTTATTTCAGTCGTGCAGGAACAACAAATTCCGAGTAAGCAATCCAGGTGCATCTTGTTAAGACCGATAAATATAATTAACTTGCTCGTGTAATTAATTAGGACTAATTACTAATTAATATAATTAAGATCGACCGCTTCCAGATTTACCGTTTTACAAACAAAACTAAAAATGGCGTCAGTTACAGGTGAGATATTTTCGTACATTTAAAGAATAATGTCATAGACTGATATTTCTTATTAATGTCCATACTTCAGAAAACACAGAAGAATCAAACACCCAAATAAAAGATCTGCCTGCAGATCAGGTAAATTGCATGTTTCTGTATTTATTTATTTTACTATTTAATTCACTAATAAATACATTTTTCAAACAGTGCCCTTCTGTGAGACATCTGGAGGCTCTTGATGGAAAAATCTCTGACAGACAAGAACAGATGGAGCTCTGCACCATGATCCTGAATGACCTGCTGGAAATTCAGAAAATAGTCGCTGTAGGTTTTTAATATTCTTTATAGATGTGCTTCTAAATTGCTGTTTGCAGAGCTACTCATTCAAATGTTTATTTTGGTAGGAAAGACGCCTTGAAAATGCATCACTTCGAGGACTGGATAACTGAACGGTTTCCTTTCAGTATTTGAAACCTACAAGTATGCATATATAAATAAAATCTTAATGTGAATGTGATAGAGCAATTTCTTTCTGAAACAAGTAAAATAATGTAACAACTCGGACAGGATTTTACTGGTATTGTATTGCTTTTTGATTCAAAAAGTTATTACTTTGCCATAATACTTTATACAAAACAAGCATATGAGAAAAATTTCACATTATACATTCTTTAAAAATACAGATCTTTACAGTTTCCTCACACTTTGGGTATCAAAAGCAGTCCTTATGGAAGCATTTGTTTCCTCTTTACCTCAAGCTTCTGAGACTCCACTAACATGCCAGACCAACTTCTCCTCTTGTCTAGTGTCCTTGATGCTGCCTGAACCCGAAGAAATCCAGAATAACGAAAAGCAACGGTTTATTAAGCTAGTTTTGTTGCATTAAATCATAAGTTAATGCCTTAAGAAGTCCCATGTGTGAATGAAAACGTAATGATGATGATGATGGCACCTGATGAAGTTGGAATAATAATAAAAAATATAAAAAAAAAACATTGCGGGTTTACATGAACCAGAGTCGATCTTGAGCAAGAACAAAACCAGAAGGGTTGACAATCAAGCAAGTAGTTCTTTCACCAGTATTTTTCCAACATTAAAACAAATGCAAGATTTTCATGTCATGTGGGGGTCAATAAAAAAAAATAAAAAATACATTGAAGCAGCAATAATTTTCAACAGGAAAAATATACATATACATATATAACATTGCAATGCCCAGATACAAAACAAAACAGATTAAGTCACACCAACACATAACTGTACACAACAAACATTTTGAGACTTAAGAAAAAAAAAAAAGGCTTTTAAACTTGAAATACTGCAATAGGACACGGCTGTTTCTCTAAATGATGACTTGCATACTAAAATGACCACTGAATGCTGACACACATATTTTGCTTATGAACATGTACAGATGGAGTGATTTTATGTTTTTTCTATATGCTCCATGACATTGCATAGTTGCTTATTTTTGTTAGGTGATGAATAATAACTGCCTTCAATCAAAATGAATCTTTCATGTAAAGTAACTTGTCAAAACTAGAGTCCTATGCGAAATATGCGAACAAAACAAGGTCGGAAAGCATGTGCATTATTATAATTAAGGTACGGTTGATCATTATATTGGCTGGACCCCAAAATAAGTGCATTTATTAGGGAAAAACTGTGTTGTTCAGAAAGATTTATAATTTGAAAGATTTATAAAGACGCATTATAATGTTCTAGTACTAGGTTTGCACAGGTCCCATTAATAAGCAAATGTAGTGGATAAATAACAAAGCAACTGATTAACATTTTGGGAGCGACGTACACAGAGCTACCAGCGCAATGAAGCATCACTGTCAGTTCACGGTTTAATTTGGCACTGGATAGGAAAAGGCTCGCTCGATAATATCTATCCGATTCAAATTCTCCATATCTAGTCCATGCTGAAATGAAATAACTATCACGAGTTGTAAGGCAAGTCCTACTTGAGTCTGAAACACAAGGATCTGCGGAGAACTACATACTGCATAAGAGATGCACAGGTGACAGTAAAGGCAGTGCAGAGTCACGTCTCTCATCTCATCTCACACCCAAAGTCTGATTTCTCATAGTTCTATACAAAAATACAAATACAATCTAAAGGCTTGAACATTTATCATCTCAAATGTACTATGTATTTACATGACCGTCAGCTCTTTAGAACCTCTATACAGCAGTGGTATATAAATGAGGGGCAAACGAGCGGCGTTGAACCGTGGCTGGGTAGTGCACTACAAGCAGGTTCAAAACAACAGGTCAGATGAGTTGTGTCTGCTTATCTGGTCAGCGCACGCACACACACACACACAAACACATGCGCACGCACACACACACACAAACACACGCGCACGCACGCACACACACACATGCGCGCACGCACACACACACACACACACACACACACACACTTATCATCTCAGAATATACCGCTGCTTGTTTTTCTGCATCCCTGAGCGGGTCACAAGAGACTCACGCGGGTTTAGAAACGGGGTTCACGAAAGAAAAAGTGCAGGGAGACACTGATAAAAGGAGGGAAACAGAGATCTGTAACAACCGATGGGGGGGAAAAAAACCAAAGGAGACCCAACCACATGCCTATCACAAAGGCAAAAGTGTTTGATTTCATCACAGAGTATTCGAGAGTGATCATATTTCATCCAAAAATCAAGAGGAAAAAAAAACATCTATTTTTTGCATAAAGAAAAAGACTATATATTGTGGCTACATATTAAGAACTTCTTCCCATGACTTGTTAATTCATTGCCACAATTTACAAATTTGTTCCCTTGATTTAACAATCATGGCCACATACTAATTTAACTAAAACAAGGGAATGATTTAGTAAATAGTAGCCACAATTTACTACAATGAGGGAGTGAATTCATAAATTGTGGCCACGATATACTAATTTGATTCCTCATTGTAGTAAATCATGGCCATTATATAATTAAAACAAATTAGTAAATCGTGTTACAAGAAAAAAACATTGCTGTGGGAACGAATTCTTAATTTGTGGCCACGATATATATGTCTAAATTCAATTCAGTTTAAATAATATATTTATATTTATTTGTATTTATTGTTTATATTATTTTTACATTACTATAATGAAAATTGGAGGAATTAAATTGTCATTAATATTAAAAAATAATAATAATAAAAGTAAAATAGGGTTAATTTTCTTTATGCAAAAATTACCATTTTATATTTTTGTTTTGATTGTGGGAAATATGACCCAGAAAATTTCTAGACGGGTTTCGTGAGATTCACTTAAAGACATAGTTTGGGGAAAATCTAGAAAAATATAGTGAAAAGTTGGGGAAAAGAGCTACATTTATCCAACAATTAAGTATTTCAATAAATTAACATACATAAAATTAAATACTAAGTTATAGGTAGCCAAACAAACCTAAATGACATTTAAAAGGCAGGTAAATGTCGATCGCACTTTATCAAGAGTGACAAACTGTAAAATAAAATCTCAAAAAATCACATTATTATTATTATTTTGAGCACTGCAGCCTTTCTAATAAATTACACATAAAATACTTCAACGTTTCAATGTGCAGGACTTTTCGTAGATGACTTCATTACCCACAAACTGTGATGAAGGCCTTTCTGTTGAAGTCTCAGACACACCAGTGAACTAACGTGTAGTAAATTCCCATCCATCTAGTGGGTTTCAAGTTTAAACTCAAGTACAGCATGTGGCCGGGCGAAAACTCGTCTTGTTTTGTACGGAGAATCTCTATAAGCAGATTTAGATCTTTAAATAATCTCTGAAATAATCGACCAAAACAGTGGGGTTAAAACACTACCGAGACTCAAATCATTATGAGAAGCAACTAAGCTACTTCTCCTGGTGCCCTAAACTGCTCCGCCTGCTACTCTCCCTTAAAAGTGCACCAAAAACCACTCCGTTTCACACAGACCTGGGGAGAGACGCGTGCCTATAGCAGAGGTACAGGTGTATGTGAGATACCCATCCGTACACGGTACAGACGAACAGTGAGGCCTGAGCCTCTAGGGGGCGCTGCTGCTGCTGCCTCCATCGGTCAAGCCGAACTCATCCGCCACCATCAGCAGAGCCTCTATGTTGGCCGTGGTGTCTGGACTGAGCAGATCTGAGACATCTATGCCGGCCAGGCCATCGCTGGGGGTGTTGGGGGTCACCGGAGCGGCCAGGTTGTCCTGTTGGGGCTGAGCGGGGTTCTCTTTAGATGGGCAGCAGGATGGAGGTTCTTCGGGGAGGGCAGGAGGAGCTGGAGGAGCTGGAGGAGCAGGAGGAGCTGGAGGAGGCGCAGCAGGAGGAGGCGACGTGTTCTTTGACTTCTCCAGTGAGGAGGCAGCGCTCTTGTCTTTAGCCGAGTCTCTGCAGGCACACTGACACTGGCAGGACTCCTCCTGCTTTATGATGATGACCGGCAGACTCAGACCGATCTGCTGCACTGCGTTCCCTGAAACAACCACAACAACTACCTGTGAGAGACACTCAAGAAAATCTGTACTGCACTCTCTGTTAGGGCTGCACGATAATGGGTATAAAATGTATATATATATATATATATATATATTTATTTATTCACTTTTTATCGCCATGCCAACATCAAGGCTATTTTCATAGCAATCTCAGAATAAATTACACAAGGTATACAATTAACAAAGAGTTATAAAAGATGTTTCAAATCTACACTAGACAAAAATTCTAAAATACATTCAGGTGATACATTTTTAAATAAATCAGTTAAACACATCTCTGAATAAAACCGTTGTCTATTTACACTAAAAACAGTACAATCTAATAAAATATGCTTCACAGTCATTTTTGTTTGGCAAGTCACTCAAAAATATAATAGTGATTATCTTCTCTTTCTGTTTTATCAGAATTATTGCACAAATAAAGAGAACGACAACATATACATATATATTTGTCATACAAATTAAAATTTTTTCTAAATTATGAAAACAGGTTAAACTAGAAGCTTCTCTCAAAAGCTAAAACAGTAAAATTCCCAATATTAACACCAGAAATTCCCACTTATGTAATGTTTTTCTATTAAGGCAAGACACCACAGATAAAGCAGGCCAATTTTGAGATTTTGGGCTGTTTGGCTTCTCATAATGTGTTGTTTCAGGAAAGAAACCATCTAAAATACACATTTTATTGCACTTTTTCTATTGACATCTGTAGATTTCAATCACTAATCTGCAAAGGCTGTTTTCACTTGCATACACCAAACTTTACCATTTTTCCTATCTATATTTGCCTGATTTTATACATCATTTACTAATACTAAAAACATGTTGACAATTATTATTATTTTTTCCTGCTGTTGACAGCATTTACTTGTGGTGTGGTGACGAATGGTTGCCAGATTGAGAAGATTAAGTAGAAAAATACTCTCTGAGGTATTTCAACCCTTGACATCTGGCAACCTCAAGCTTGTTATCAGTGCAAGATAATGTCAAATGGAAAAAAAGTTTAAGGATAAATAACCAATCAGTCATTATCATAGACGATTATGCTTAACCTATCAAGAGAATCAGAAGCTGGAATTGCAATAAAAATAAATAAATCATGTAGCCCTATTCTGTTGTCATTGCAAATTTTAAAATCAATAAAAATTCAATCATACCTGAACGTCCACCGACTGGTATGGCTGTTGTAAAAAAGACCTTCTCTACTTTTGGGCCCTGAAATAAAAGCAGTAGTAATGTCAAAAACTGAGAAGAATAAATAAATGTATGCCATTAATTGAAACCTGAACTAGACAATTATTAAGATCATAACTACTGTTAAAACAATCTAACGGTAAAAAAGAAACAAATTCAGAGAATATCTGCAAAATAATCATACATGCATACCAGGCAAGATTAGCATGTTTGTAAAAGCAAAAGCAAGCAATGAAATAGTTAAAAACAAAACCACACACACACGATGCTAAATAGCAATAACCATGTGCACTAAAAACAGCAATAAGAACCTATTACTGAATGATTTCACTGATGTATATGTATGATTTCATAATGATTTCACTGATGTATGATGTATATGATGTATATATGAAGGCCATAATGGTTGTAACAATTTACTTTCAAGTCAAATTTGTGTTTTAAATTTGTCAAGCTGCTCTGATGTGTGCCTTTGAGGATGAATTAGCTGCTGGATTTGAGAAACATTGTGAGGTTCATAGAATCAAATCTTTGAATGTCGTCCTGGTTCCTGATACAGTGGCTAATTCTTGGCCAGAACAAACTACAATAATAAACTACAATATGCATCAGATACAATATGCAGCTAGAAAAACTGCACTTTAAATAATCTGATGATGCCAGATAGATTTTTACGTTTCTAACATTTTTAACATGTTGTTAGCATGTTTCTAACATGTTTTAATATGTTGCTACCATGTTTTAACACATTCCTAACATGTTTCTAACATGATGCTAGTATAGTTAACCAAAAAATGAAATTTCTGTCATCAGGTACTCACCTGCATGTCATTCCAAACCCATAAGATTTCCATAAACGTTAGATGTTTTTTTAAAAATGTTTTTTTTTTCTTCAGCTTATTTTTTCATTTCAGTTTTTTTCACTAAAACTTTCAAGCTTCAAAAAGTTCATAAAGACATCATAAAAGAAATCTTTTACTTTCACAATTTATTTTACGATATCTTTATGAACTTTTGTTGTAATGTACTTGCAATAGAGCGATACTCCCAGGCTTCATTAAAAATAGCTTCATTTGTGTTTCGCATAGAAATAAAAGTCTTATGGGTTTGGAACGACACAAGGGCGAGTAAATAATGACAAAACTTTCATTTGTGGGTGAACTATCCCTTTAAGGGCAGCTTAATAAATTAAGACAAAATATAAGATAGAAACATGCAGCTGAAGCTAAAGTAAAACCACAGATGTAGTTGAACGGTAGACTGCTGGACCTGTTGTTCAGGGTTTTGCTGCGCGCTGGCGGCACTGCTGAGGATCCACTGCAGGTTCTGATCGGACATGACGATGCTGGGCTGCAGGCCGAGTGTGGGGGCGATAGTGATTGTAGGAGGAGGAGGAGGAGCCAAAGGCACCGTGCGCGTTACTGCTGCCGTCACCTCAGTCGTCACGGCCGGCACGCTGGAGACTCCAGGCTCGGATGGCGGAGGCACCGGCTGAGCCGTAGAGGTCAGTGTCACGTAGTGCTGGGTGACTGAGGGTGCAGATGGAGCGGGCACTTCTGGTGAGTTTGATGAGGTGGGCAGAGCACAGGGGAAAGTGGAGGTCAGTAATGAGCTGCTGACAGCGGGAGGGGGCGGGGCCGGCTGAGAGGGGAGTTTCGTAGGCGGAGTCTGAGCCTCC